TCACATGCTTTTAGCAAGATGCTCATGCTCTAAGAGTCACTTGTAGAACAATTATATATTTGAAGTATCAGTGACCCAAAGCAATGTTTATCTCTGGCAGTAAACAATTCAATGGTTGAGATGGTGTAGGTCATAGGTGATTTGAGAAACTAAATAAAGAGTTCTATCTATACTGGTGAATACTGGTTCTGTCTGAGGACATCTGAGAAGCAAGATATGACCCATACGCAATTTCAAAACACCATACAGCAGCAACTCCAGGAGGAAAGGTTACATAGCATTAAACACAGCCTTCCCTTGTAGTATCCAGTGGCCCTGTGATGTTTCGACACTCAATTGAAAGAAAAACCCTGCTGTCATACCACTTATGAAAGCACCTGGGCCAGAAAGGTAATGCTTAAAATGAATCTGTGCTTTTACCATGTAGGCCCCCTACACAGGAGCATATAGTTACCTTGTTTCGGTTCCCCCCATGCTCCATTCAGCTGCCAGGAATGAATGAAAAGCCCTGTTTCAGCTATGAGTCACCAAAGTTCCAGCTTATGCAGGGCTTTGGACTTCCCATGTGATAACAGTTATTGTCCCAGCAGCACATGCTCTGCCATACTGAGAAGTAATGGGTATTCTACTTGGCTCCCAGAGCTAAACAGAATGGCTAAAGTGCAAAGGACATATAGGTTATTGTTGGGAAGAGGGTGGTATGAAAGCATAGATGTTTAACCTCATATTTCAACCATCTCTAAACAATTACTGGACACAATTAAAGCAAGCATTAGCCTATCAGATCATCTGAATTATTTGTCTGAGAACATAAATGCAAGTGTACATAAGGCTTTAAACTGTTGAAGAATAACATTCCTTGAGAAGTCATCGACCATTCCTGTGTAGATCAATGCCTGTGCCTTAAAGGATACAATAATTTGTAGCTGTCAATGGAGGCAAAACTTCATTAATTTTCATTAAATAAACTAAATATATTTGTTTCGAATATATCATTAGTCATATATTCTTGACACTTTGTACAACAATTTGACAAAGTTTAATGCAATATATAAACTCTTTATGGTGCTGTATTTTTGCATCTTCCATTCCCTCTAATAAAAAAAGGCATGACATCTTCTCTACACATTCTGGGACAAGATTTATCTTAAGTCAACTGCGTAGTGTTGGTTTAAATCACAATTATAAAACCCTAATTGCAACTTAAAATTGAATAATGACTCAGTCAAATAAATCCGGCCAAAAATAAATCTTCACATTTTAATGTCTAGAATATGGCTCCGAATGCTAAGTTTGTGAAATGAATTTTGTTTTGTACATGAAGCAAAAAGTGGCATTCAATAATAACATTCATATATAGATGATGTTCAAAGTATTCCTAAACCTAAGGTGCATCAGGGATCTTTCTTTACTTTTACTGTGCACATACTTGTCAATCAGACTGATATTAAGATATTCTGACCACCAATGTGTTTTCTTTTCCTTTCCTCTCATTACATTGTTCACAGTGTTCTTTACCATTTTCTAACAGGTACGCTGAAATAGATTATATTCAAATGACAAGGATATTTTAATGACAAAAAGACAGATTATGAAAGTGAAGGTGGAGCAGATGTAAGTACAAACATGATGTGGACACATTTTTGAACATTTGTAATAACAATTATCCTTACATTGTATGGCCATTTTATTAGGTACTTCTGCTTCCTAACACAAATAGCCAACCAGCAAATCATATATATACAAATGGGGAAGATGTGTGGTCTAAGCTTTTCTGAAAATGGTTACAGTTGCCAGCTGTGATGGTTGCAGCATCTCAGAAACGTCTGGGTTCCTGGGAGTCCCAGGCACTAGATTCTGTAGAGTTTACAGAGAATGGTGTAAAAATCTTCCACCAAGTTGCATCCATGTACAGCACGTTAAAACTTTAGAGCAGCCTTTCTCAACCAGGGTGCCACGTTACCTTCTGGCTTTGTCAGAGGTACTTTCAAATTTTCACACAGTGTCATGCAATTTCATGGTGCAGCTTGGAGCCAGGCACCAGCACCATGAAAAAACATGATGTTAATCCAGGGTTGGCTGCATCCAGGACCTCCATCAGCATTCACAAGAGGACAGAAGTCCACTTCCATCCAGATCTGCTGCACCTCCTGTCCTGTCTCACATAGCCACAACTGCACTGTTGGTACTGAGGACTCTGATGTAAAGGGGGAATGAAGACTCTGATGTGAAGGGGGGACTGAAGACTCTGATGTGAAGGGGGGGCTGAGGACTCTGATGTGCAGGGGGATTGAGGACCCTGATGTGAAGAGGGCTTCTGGCGTGAACAAGGGGCTTCTGATGTGAAAGATGGGCACTGTGAAGGGGGCTCCTGATGTTAAGGGATGCTTCTGATGTGAAGGGAGGAGTCCATGTCTTTAGCTTTGTTTGTGTGCGTGGGGTCCCTTCTTAAAATCCACACCAGTCCCCTATCTAGTATAAGAATCTGGTATAGATTATGGGGAGAACCACGTGTCATAGTTTTACATTTACATTTCTTGCATTTCAAACTTGGGTAGTCTTGAGAGTTTGCATAAGTTTAAAGGGCCATGAATGAAAATAAGTTGAGAAACTCTTCTTTTAATAAAGTCCAGACATACAATGAACTGTGTACAGATTAAGACTGAAAAATTAGAATGATATTTTCCTATTGGTTGACCTCAACCAATGGAAAAAAGGAGGGATGATGGCTTTGTATCCGGAAGAAATTACTGTATACAGGTTCTGCACATCCGACTTTTGAAGGTAAAGTCAATTTTCCAACAGAGATTTGACAGCTGCTATGTAGGGATTGCTGGAAATCTGTGACATGAAAGCGGGAGCTCCTATGTAACGTTATCATTAGATAGAAGTGCAAGAGAAATGACATGGGTCACTTTAATCCAGTCATTCTATGATTGAAGCATGAATGGTGGTGTTTGTAATCATATATGAATGACCCATCAGACATAAAATGTGTTTGAATGACTTGTAGCATGTTTGCAGTGTCTTAAGATCTTGTTTCAATCTTTACCAACAATAAACATTTGGTAGAAGACAGAGCAAGTTGGGTAAGAGAACAATTGGGAGTCTTTCACCATTCAAAATGGTCACCTTATCACCTTTCTAGCCAATATAAGAAAATTATACCTACTTGCTTGATATAAGCAGCATAAGTACTTAATTTCCTCCAGTTTTTATATGTGACACCAGTCTTGGTTCTGCAGTTGGTGCTACCCACTGTAGATGTTAACCTGTTATTGACTTCATATTACCGGCCAGAATTTTTCACAGTCATGAACAATGAACTTTATTTGTTTTAGCAGAAAACACTAAGCAGTTTAAAAAGGTTAATTAAAATATATTTTCAGAAATAAATTGTCTTAGGAATGTTTTCCATTTCTTCAGCAAGCATGCACATAAAAGAATTACTGGCAGATCAATAACATCTGCTCTTAGGTTCATTCTGTAATAAAAACCAATTAAATATTTAACCGTACTGACGGCTTGTTTAGGTTTAACTAAAATACTCTGTAAATATTGCATATTTGAAAGCATGCTAAAACCAAACACGAAAATGTGGTCTATACACGAGGGAACACATCATACTTTGGGCATATGCTTTTTACATCTGGGGGTGCGTCATCACACAGCCTGGACTCAAAATGGTGCTCAGATGTCATAAAGTGAGCACCAGTCTATGCCCCGAGAGGACGGCCCACCACCAAAGCCAAAACCATGACGCAGAGGGAACCTGGCTTGTCATGTGACCACGCTGAAGACACCTGGACCTAAAGCTAATCTCCGGCCTTACGTTTTTCCCCACACTTGTAGCAAGTCCTCTGCTGTGTTGAAGGTGATTACTTTAAATTCCCTGTAAAGTTGTATCTCCAAAATATAGCCCTTTGAAGCTGCAGCTGCTATTCTGAGCTAACCTTCATTTCCTGTCTGAACAACCTCATTCATCAACCACTACTCCCCCTGATCTGAGCCCCATCATTTGTCAATCACTTTTCCCCCTGATCTGAGCCCCATCAATTCGTCAGTCACTTCTCTCCCTGATCTGACCTCCATCATTCATCAGTCATTTCACCCCCTGATCTGACCTCCATCATTCATCAATCACGTCTCCCCCTGATCTGACCTCCATCATTCGTCAGTCACTTTTCCCCCTGATCTGACCTCCATCATTCATCAATCACGTCTCCCCCTGATCTGACCTCCATCATTCGTCAGTCACTTCCCCCCCTGATCTGACCTCCATCATTCATCAATTCATCTGGGTGCTCACTCACTGTCATTCGACCGAAAGGGAGTGAGTAAATAGCCGCTCGGCTACTTTGCTCGGTACCTCCATGGTACCAAGCAGAATAGAAAATCAGTGAAAAAAAAGGTTGAAAAAATATTTTACAAATGTAAATAAATAGTAAAATTTAAAAATAAACATAATTTAAAAAAAGAAAAACAATTGGGCGGAGCTAGCAGTGACAGTTAGCTCCGCCCTATTGTTTCCTATTGGCTGACACCTTCTAGAGTCTTCTAACAAGTCCTGGCTAATGAATAACAACTGGGTGGAGCCGGCCGTGATGTCACGGCCAGCTCCGCCAAGTTGTCATTGTTTAATGACAGATCAGCGCTCCCCAGGTCATTTGGGGATGCTGATCTGTCATTACAACTGGCCTGAGCTGTCAGTTGCGGGGGTGAATGGCCAGCAAGTACAGATGGGGGGTGGGGAATCTGCTAACTGGACTTTTGCTGTTGACTGTTACATTGCCTGCAACACTGAAGCTTCTGTTGCTCAGTAAGTAGAAATTTTACTTTTCCTTTATTATGATATATTTCAATTATTCAACAAAAAATATACACAACAAAACTAAATCTGCTGTCAGCATAAATACTATCACCCAGCTGTTGAAAAGAGAATGGATTAGCTCAGGGCTAGAACATTTGCTGGCAGATAGAAGACACAGTACAGGCCTTACCTGTTAATAGAAAGTGATGCTACAGATCTAATCAGAGAAGCTACAGCACCGACTTTAGCAGCTTCCGATGCTCCCCTTGATCTATATTGTACTGTTTCTCCGTAGCTGACGTATGGCTGGTTGTAAACAACTATCTTCCCTTTGGCTTCTTGTTCTCTGCTCTGCAGTTCAGCAAAAGACGACACTACAATCACTTCTGCTGATATTCCTGAAAGTTAAAACAATAAACAGATAAGTCTTTTCCATGTTTCTCTAGAGTCAGACAGTACCACAAAACTAGGTATACTTTCCAAAGGTCATACAAGCAGCATTTGCAACGGCCTAACATGTGAAGTAGCATCACGTGTTGGGAATACTGAAGAATTGTTTTCAGCAACAATTAACAGTCTATGTTGACAAACTAATGAAGAGTAGTAGTGAGTGCACCATGTTCACTGAGGTGTCATTATACAGCACATGAACACAAAGACTGTACATAAAAAGGCCTCTTTCAGATCTCTCTATGGGGGCCATGTAAGGAGTACTGAGTGATGCCTTAAGCCATTATTTTCGTGGAATCAGCATTTGACACCACAAGAATCATGAATAGTTAAAAGCAGCTTTTATCAGCCAGGGTACCTTCTGGGCGCCTCGAAATGTTTGCACAGGGTCATGCCTTTCCATGGGGCAGGCAGGCTTCTGATATAAAAAGGGAGATTCTGATGTGAAAAGGGGGTGGGCTCTGATGTGAAAGGGGGCTCCTGATTACAAAGAGGCACTCTTATGTGAAGGGAGAAAACCCATTTTTTTGCATGAGGTCGAACCCCCTTAAAATCCATACTAGACCCCTCTTTGTGATAAGCAATTTTGGTGGGGTTGTCACACATTGTTATTTACATTTCTACATTTAAATTCTTTTAATTTTTTTACATTTTAGACTGGGGTGCTTCAAGATTTTGCATACTTAAATGCTGTAAATTAAAAAGTTTGAGAAATGCTGGATTAAAAACGCTGCGCAAACTGTTGGCGCTATATAAATCTTGTATAATAGTAAAAATAATAATTAAAGTGTATATATAGCCAAAAGCTGATTTAACATTTTTGGATAAAGAAGGGAAAGGTTAAAACCCCGGTCAGGTTTTTATTACTGTCTGTGTCTATCTCTGAGAAATGTAACCCTTTCTATTTGTCCTGGTGACCATTGGAAATTCAACATTTTACATATGTCCCCAGAACAAGAGAACTTTCACTGGGGACAACTGTTCTGGGGACATCTCTCTAATCTTACCAGCTGCATTTCCAGGACAGGAAGTAAAGGGAAATCTCAATGAGGAAAAACATTTACTGACTGGGGTTTTAACTAAAATTAAATAAAAATTGAATCGGTTTGACAGTATGACATAAACATGGAATGAAATGTACATGGAAACCATTTGACGGTAAAGAATTAAAAAATGTAGTCTGTTTAGTGTTGCTATAAGTTATCTGGTGTTGGTGTTTCTGTTTACAATGATTATCTATTTTTAAAAAGGATCATAGTTTCCTTTAATTTATTTTAGATATAACTATAAAAGATGTCAGCTTAATTAAAATGACACTTAGGAGTTAAACCTTAAAAATGCTTGTGTATCACTTGGCTGTAGATCCTCGAATCATCTCTGAATTGGTGCTGACGCTGTCCTTTCTTCTGGAGGGTGGTTACTTTTCTTCCCCATGGTCCCTGTGTGTGTTGTAAAGTAGCCATCACTCCAAGCTCACTCCTGTGATGGACTACAATATCACTTTTAGTTTACTAATTTGTATTGAAATTGTAGTCCATCACAGGAGTGAGCTTGGACCATGGGGAACAAAAGTAGCCACCCTCCAGAAGGAAGGACAGTGTCAGCACCAATTCAGAGATGGTTTGAGGATCTACAGCCGAGTGATACACAAATAAGATACATTTTTGTTAATAATAAGGCTACTTAAATGCATTTTTAAGATTTAACTAAGATTTAACTTCACTTTAAATAGAGTGTTAACTTGACTATGTGAAGAAAGTTTGTTTCCATATTTTGGTTCTAATTATCTACATGTGCATGGGGACAGCCTTCTTTAACCCCTTCGTGAAGGGGTACGTCTCGTCACAAAGTGCCTATATGACTGGCCACGAACACTGTTCGTCACGTACAGTATACTGTACGTGTTTAAGGCTTTGTAATGCCGGTAACCACTGATTCTCAGCGGTTACCAGTCATTAATGGGTGGGTCAGTATTGAGGCATTCATTAATTAAATAGTTAAAGTGACATGAACCCCTCAGATTTTTTTTACATAAAACAATACTGTAATGTGTGCCTTAATCCATGGTTGTTTCCCTTCTCTTTACTGCTCTTCCTTTTAAATCCATATCTCTTATCATGCTGGACAGACTGCCTTGTCTCTGGAATGGATACATGGTGTCTGTGTGCAGGTTCACAACCTGAGCCAGCACTACCGGAAGAGGCACTCAGCTGCAAAGGGAAGTTCTCCCCCAGCAAGAGAAGACATGAGGATTTAAAAGGAAGAGCAGCAAAGAGAAGGGAAACAACCATGGATTAAGGCACACATTACAGTATTGTTTTATGTAAAAAAAATCTGAGGGGTTAATGTCACTTTAAGCTTTTGTAAAAGCTTCTTTCTTTCATTAATGAAAGAATGAAGCCGTTACATGCAAATACAGGAGCGCTAAATAGCAATCCCATATTTGACAGCTGAAAAGAGCAGCGAGGTAGCAGAGTGAGTCACCTCTCTGCTATTCGTTTTGACAGCTCAATGTCTATGATACATTTCAGGCACAGAGATACAAGAAATACAATGTATCTCTTTGCCTGAAATGTATCACTTCTGATCATCTAGGCATGATCAAAGAGTGAGATCTGAATCTGACATGCTGTCAAGATCAGTCTCTAAGGTTATTTTTAGCTGTTCCTAAGTTTGGAGCAGCCTAGTAATAGCCCAAAATTTAAAAAGTTAATTTATCAAGCAGTCATACTGCTTGATATAAACTACTTTTTTTTTTTTTTACAGAGTGTAAAAGAAAAGAAAAGAAAGTGTAAAACAAAATTAGGAAAATAAAAATTATATATAAATATATTTTCTATACTATAATTATTATAAAAAATGTCAAAAAAATAGTAAATGTAAAAAGTGTGTCAGTCATTTATGAACAGAAACTGAAAACTAGTTCAGTCATGAAGGGGTTAACTGCTTCTCACCTTGATTGGTAGCCAAGATCATGTGATCCAGGCTGCGAGCAAGGGAACAGCGAGCAGTTTATTTTTCTTGGTAGGAAAGAAGTCATTTTTTTATTGAAAATAATAGTGTGATTTTGTAATGCTGACATGTGCCCTACTGATTAATGTGAAGTGTGAATTTTAGTCATAGGTCTATTTTAAATGTTTCATAAGAACAAAGAATCAATATGAGTTGGCAACTAGAGTCAGTGGACTGAACAGGGAGGTGATACTTCTTCCTTGCCCAGTATGCAGGCTGGGGGCAGGTTGGTGAACATGTTGTATTGGTTAACTGCAATGGAGCAGAAATCAAATCACAGACCAAGAAATGCCACCTGGCAAGGTTGTGTAAATTAAAGAACTGGCTGGGCAAAATTGCGAACTCTGGCAATAAACTAGCTCACCTATACTTCTTTCAACTTATATTGAGCATCCTTGAGTGTAGCTTTAACATTTAAGTACACTATTAACAAACCTTAGCCTTCCAAATCCATCTCTGGAAAATCCAGCAAGTATGCAAATATAACCTTTTACTTTCTCCTGCTTTCTCTGTGAGATCTAATAAAAGTCTCAATGACCTTGGCAGTTCAAAAAGTGAAAGTTAAAAAGTGCCTCAAACATATGAGTACCTATTTCTAAGAAAGCATCCATGGAATGCCTTGAGATGTGGCTGAGCAATAAGCAATTATATCCCAATGGGTTTTGGTTATGCTCTCCTCTTCCTCCCTCCATGATTTCTTTTTGCATAAAGTAAACCTGTGGTTTACCAATGTTTACTTCCCATCAGCATTTATTTACTTTTCACTATTTCACCACTGGAGGCAAAAAAAGAGGAAGCTAACACAGGGTTGATGTACCCTCTGCCCTTGTGTAACACCTCTTGGTCAATCACCAAGCACCAGTGCTGCCACATGGGGTGAGTCACATGCTTCTCCATATGTAGGTGTAATGGGTATTTCCATGTATGTGCTGCTGACTATGGGTAAGATGAATTTGTTGTTTAAACCTCCCTGGCGGTCTGATTATGCAGGATTTTAGCATGCCAAAGCGGTATATTGTTTTTCATGGAAATTTGTTGTTTATATTGTAGGCCTGTAATTCTTAGTAAATCTTAGGAATAACTCACCTAAATCTGTCCAAACAAGAGTCTAGTAGACATCCCGGATATGATAAAGTTTGAAACATGAAATTAACAAATTATATTATAATAAATAATTAGAAAAAATTATAATATAATAATTTAAAAAATGGTCCAGTAAATAGGAATTCTGGGGGCAGTCCCTGATTCGTACCACAGTCAATAGAGCACCAAGTTCGCACATCACTGAGCTTGGTTGCAGAATCGCCGCTGCCGTCACTTTCAATGTCTGATGACAAATTTCCCAACGAATTGATATCGCTCAATTCTGCAAGTGATTCTAATTCACTATCGCTGTATTCTACCTGGTCTAAAACCACTCCTGACCTAAAGGGACGCTTTTTGGATGCCATGGACGTTCTCAAGTTTCCAGGCAGAAAGAACAGTAAAAGTGCAGGCAGGGCACTAGACAAAGCTCTAGGGACAAAATTGAAGTGAAATGGTTTGATACAGAAATGTAATCATAGCAGATTACATTGTATTGTGTGTATTCTGTGTATATTGCATGTTTTCACTTTTGAATTTCCCGCCGGCTCCGCCCCCCGCTGTGACGCCGAAAACGAAACTAAAAGTCGGATGCCAGCATCGGCCGGGCGCACACAGCAGAGGACACCGCGGCCTCGCAGTGACAAGGTAAGTGACACTTTTGTGTAATCCCGAGTGTGGCTCGGGGTTACCGCTATTGGTACTGAAAATTAACCCCGAATTAACACACACGGGAATACCGCCAGGGAGGTTAAAGCTTTTGGGCTTTGCAATGTACACACTCAGGACATGTATATCTGTATACGGAAGGGGAACGCACAATGGCCTATCCCACGGGATATACTTATTGAAA